TAAACTAGGTTTTCTATTTAAATTAATAATACTGCAGTTTTTCTGGTTACTAACGTCCTTATCACAAATTAATTGCTATTGTGTTATCAAACCATAATTACTGGCTAAATTAACAATTGATATTTTATATGCTTATAAAAATATATACATTATAAAAATGGATCATTATGCCATTATGAAACAAACACGACATGTAATCTATAGAGCATTTATATAATATGCGATGGCGTGGAATATTCCTTGACAGTTGTACTTTTTCTATTAAACCTAGTGCATGYTTAATAAATTTAAAGTGATGTAATAATAAATGTTTAGTTAATACATCATWCAAATTTATTTAATTATTTTTGTATTTAGCTGTACTCAACCTAAAATATAAATCGAATCTGGGGTATTAGATTTGCTGAATGCAGACGAATAAAATTATTCAAAAATATTTTAATTTTGTAATCAACTTCATTCTGGAGTAGTTCAATTCAGAAGAAAATCCGGCAGAACATATAATTTATTCAAAAAACCTTCCTGCTTCAATACCATGCAGATATCAGTATATCGCTCAAGCTAGAGTTCAAAACCTAGGTACCGTCAGTAAAATGGAAGAAGATAAGGCAAGCTAATATTTGAATTGTGGTATTTTATTGTAATTTTATAGTTTCTGCGTTTTAACTGTATAGATAGAATTCGATAACAAATACATTTAAACCATAATTAATAGGCATAACTTATAAAATAAATTATTAATTAGAAATAAATTTAAGATTTAAAGATTAAGAAGGTCTTAAAGATCTTAAGAATAATTACGAACATAAAAGCATTTTAAAAATAATAAGTGAAGATAAAATTTTAAATTAATTAAATAGCATCAATATTACTTAAAGAAATTGTAATTGGATATCTTCCAGACAATTTTCTACAATCTTTATAYACTGTAAAATAATTTAACTGATATAATCTAAGTATAGTATTTAATAAGTTACCTATATAAACATGTTTCAATTCAAAATCCTTCTATTAATTACTTGCTTGAAAGTATGCCGCGGTTTTGCTTATCAATGTCCTAAATCTGTCCCATATTCAGAAATATCAGGATTATCAAGAGTTAGCTTACCTATATCAGATGCGCTCCACCATTTTAAAATCAAAAACGAATTTCTAATTGATTCTAATGGTAGGACAAGATATGTTTGCGTAGAAATTACGCCAGAAATATACACAATACGGAATAAGACAATGAATAACGATACCGATACGCATGTCCAAACCGGAGGAGATTGTAAAGGACATGTAATACCACATTCCTTAGGGGGATCAAATCATTCATTGAATATATTTTCGCTTAATCAGAATTGTAAATCGGAGATGCTAAACAGTGGTGTCGAGCAAAAACTCGGTGAATTACTTACTGAACACTCGCGAATAACATATATAGCTGAACTTGAATATATATATAATGCGACTGATACACGGCCAAAATGCATAAACGCAGTGTATATGGACGAAAATGAAAATATTTTAGGATCTATGAAAATAATGAATTCGCCACC